AGGGAAGCCCCACAGTATTACTCTTAACAATCACCAGCAAATCACAAACAGATACTCATTTTGATTTAAAAACACTTCCATTTTGGGAATTCTCTGGTGGTCAAGTGGTTAGAACTCTGCACTTTCACTACCGAGGGTCTGGGTTCAATCCCTGCTTGGGTACCTAAGATCCCGCAAGCTGCACGGCATGGCCAAAAAAACCCCCCCAAACTTCCATGTTTACAAAAATAATAAGTGTTTGTGCTGACTTACTTTTAAGAAGTTCTCCTAGGGAAGGGAGGAGGGGAACTTGATAACGTTTCAAACCTAGAAAAGAAAATAAGGTTTGCAGCTTGTTAGGCTGCAGAGGTAAATTTTTTTTTTTTTCCCCTTTAGTGCACAGTATGGTGTGATGGTTTTTCTATGATGAACAATAATGAATTCTCTTTTAGGAAGTATTTCTTTAAATGGACCACCTAATGGTTACATCTGTGTGTAAAGAAAATCCTCCATTGCCCGCTTGGCCCTGCAATCAGTCACTTGTATTGGATGCAAAGGTCTCCAACAGTCTGGGTTGTTTCCAGGCATTATTTTTGGCTCATTTTATTGTCTTGCGAGTGATTGTGCCTCATCATGGCTTTTTGTCCTGTGTCTTTCTCTTGAGCACCAAGGACATTGTGGTTTTTTTTTTTTTTTTTTCTTTTAAGTAGTTTGGTCATATTCCTTTTCAAGAACCTTTTATTATTGTGTGATTTGTTATATGGGCCTTCTGTTGGACATTATTTGCTTGACGTTGACATTGTCTTTTTGGAAATGATTATGTAGGATGATAGTGATTGCCATGTTTCTGTACTTGTGGTTGCCCTGCCTGCAGGTGTTTGGATAACATTTGGAGTCAGTGAATTGCTGTTTCCAGGGGGCAGGGGATGGTGGATGCTGGTAGGGGGAGGTGAAGGTAGGGTGGTATGGTGGTGGGGGAGTGAGTTCACTTGCAGGAAACATAACCACATTGCAGCTAGAAAGATGTATTGGACAGGGATCTTGGAAGTAAGTGTTGGATGTAAGGGAAGGACGTGGGTATTCTAGGTGTATTTCAAAGCTTTTATAGGAAAAGTGGTTTATTCCTTAACTTTTTGTTGTTGTTGACAGAGTTTCCCTGAGAGTGAAGCCTCTCAGAAGCTATAGAGAACAGATTAATAGACGTACAGTTGGTTGCTTAAAGAGCTCTTCTTGTGTCTTTGAGGAAAAGTTTAACAAGTAGTTTCTAGCACTTGAGAATGTACAATCTGCCATAAAAGGGTTCACACGTACTAGATGCTTAATAAATTTTTGTTGAATAGTGAATAAATATATCCTAAAATTGCTGTTGGCACTGTTAATGTTCTGTCATAGTGAGGAACTGGAATGTTCCTTTGTATCTGTGTACCCATACTATATAAGATATAATAAAGAAGAGAAGGGGAGGTATTTCGTGCAGTGTTTTGGCTATCTTAAAAGCTTGTTCAGAATTGGGATGACTTTCTTTTTCCCTCCCTCCCTCCCTCCCTTCCTTCCTTCCTGTTTTTTAAAAAACACATCTTGTTTGGAAACATCACTTATTACAAAGGGGAATGATGTGTTGATTGCACAAAAGTATACATACTTCATTATGTCGTGTGTAAATCCTGATAAAAATTGGATATTAAAAATGATCTTCCCTAATTGCTGAAGTAGGTATTTCATACTGCAACAGTTTAACAATCTGTTAGTTGAAAGTGATTAGGACTAAGTAGTATTGTAGGTGTTTCTGTAAACTTTTCTAGAAGGATCTGCCTTTTTGTGTATTAAATCTCTCAGACTGTGCACTCAGTATGGCCCAGTCTTGGTAGATTCATTGCTGAGTTAGGAATATGTATTTTGTGCCTGATCACTTTTTAGCACATCATGTACAGTTTTAAAAAATGCTTTTATAGAGGTACCCATAGTTATCATCTCGCCCCTTATAATGTCGTAGTTCTTATATGTACTCCACAAATTTAGGATTTGAGAACAGGATGAAAATGTTTTCTTGAGTTGGTTTCTCAAGCTCTTCAAATAGGAAAAAACCCAGGAGATTAAAGGTTCCCGTCTGTGCTGGAGGCAGGGAAATAGCACAACACGGGCCTAACAGTCAAGGTGTTTCCAACGCTGGGGAAAACTGGAGTCTCTGTGTTTCAAACTTTTCAACCTAATTTTACTGTGTGTGAAATATTGTTCTTCTGTAAGAAGATTCTGATAAAGCATTTTAATCTCTTTTAAGTCCCTAATTTATCTGTTGGAAAACAATCCTTAAAGACAGGTGTAAAGGAAAAGATAAGTTTTCATTTAAGGATTTAATCTCAGTATGGAGCACTGTTGAGCAACAGGTTCTAAATTTATTCAGAAGTAATATCTCTGAAATTCTGTGATTCCCCTGAATGCTTCTGTGAACTATATAGATATCAGTAATGAAAAACTTTATTTGTTCTTTGAATTATGTGAGTAAACCATATATTTCCCCCCATTTATAGCTATGATAGCTGCCTGGCTTCTCTTAGGGGAGGAGCATCTGTTTGGGTAAAATATTAGCATCAATGTTTTAGAGCCTTTTGAGATGAAAAGGGGGTTTTCTTTTCCTGTCTGAGAATATAAGCTGCTTAATACATTAGTAAGATTTTATTTTGTGGATTCGTATTATATATGTACTAGAAATAGCATACTTGCCCCTCTACCCACTAGATACTAATAGGTTCTGCCATCCCCCAAATACGACAACCAAATAATGGCTCCAGATATTGTCAAATGTCTTTGGGGAGCAAAATTGCCCCCTCTTTAGAACTCCTGCTTCAGATTCTCTTTTCAGGCTTAAAGACACATAGAAATGTTAAATTAGTAAATGACTAAAAATGAGTACTGGTTGTTGAATTTTTATTGGTCATATTGGAAATTAAAAATTTGTAAAATACAGAGCCTTATTAGGAGGGTTTAAAATTTTTTTAATTTGCAGTTCTGAGCTACTGGTTTCAACCAGTTGTTTTAAAGAAATAACTCCTCTAGGTGTACCTGGGGTTAACATTTTTGGGGCAGTTTTAATTAATAACTTGTTTGTTCCCTTTCTCAACTTCTAGAAAACCTATGAATTTATGTCTGTGACTGGAAATGCTGGCAGTGGGCCTGCTGTAGAGAACATTAGCCAAAAGAGATCCCTTTGGGCCCCACCCTTTCTAAATTTAGTTCATTCAGTCTCAGACTCTCAAGAGCCACCCAGGGCAGAGTTGGGTTGCTCCTTCTGGATGCAGATAGACTCTGGAGCAAACACTTTGCTTTTGGCTTATGTTTTGACCTGTGACCTATGGTTGGTGTTGTGAAGTTGTGAGTATACTCTTTAGAAAAATGCCCTCAAGACAGAGTTCAGAAAGAGAGGGAGAGAGTGAATAAAAGAAGGAGGGGGAAGATTGAGAGAGAAATGTTTATATTTTGGCAGCTGAATGAAATAAGAACAATGAAACAAGGTCATGGCTGACTTCTGAAAGGTTCTGGACTTGTTTCTTGACACTGGCAACTTATCTGCTAAGACCATTACCTAGATCTTCAGTGCATCTCCTCTGTTATTTTGTTCTGATTTCAAAAGTAAGCAAGGAACAACTGCAGTATTGGAGAATTTTGTTGTTTAAGGTAATGTTTATGCCTCTATTAACCAAAGTCATAGTTTAGCTGAGGTTTGTTTTTGTTTTTTGTCTTGTTTTGAACTTTGTAGTCCTTTTTGCTTTCAACAAGAGAGGCTGTGGCAGGACTCCTCAAGTAACTTAATTGCTCTGGTCATTCATCTCTTTCTAGAGGTCCAGCGTTAATTAAAAATCATTTTGAGACTTAAAAAGAAATAAAGTAACAAAAATTACTCTATAATAGAACTTCTAATTTGTTAGCTTGCTGGTTTCTGCTTTGGTTGGCTTTTTCTATTCTTTGTTGCTTACTGGTTATTTTTGAGTACTTTTGATTTGCTTAAACATTTTCAGCTTTTTGAACTATGACTATGAAAATGAGCAGAACTGTCCTTATTTTTGACTTGTGAAGAAATTTAAATGTATTTAGGATTAATGCCTTTGGAACTTACAAGATGCAGTAAACAATCTCTGCTCCGCAGGCTCTACCCCCACAAGCCACGCTAGTAAAATCGTCTGTCTGAAATCTGTTCCTCTCTTCTTCATCTTCTCGGCTTTTGCTTTTAATGATAGAAATACTATGGAATGTTCTTTGCTATTCAAATGATTTCTCAGGATCATGAGCATTGATGTGGGTGCAGCAATTCTTGTTTGGGATCTGTAAATAAATGAGACTATCTCAAACAAACCTTGCAGGAAAGCAAAGAGATCTTTTACCATCATAAAGAACAAGAAAAAGGAAAAGTGAGGAATTCTTCTCTTTCTTCAGTCAATGTAAAGGAAAGCTCTAAGGTTGCCAATCTGAGCATATGGCCCTAAAATGGAAGCAGTGTTTACAATTCACCTGTTAATGGTGTTACAAACCCAGTTTGCTTTCAGTTTCTTATCATTTTGAAACCAGAAACCTTTACCATATCCCATATACAATGGAAAACCTCTTCATATTTTTTAATTCGCATTTTTGAATGTAAGCTATAGTTTATAATTCTTAATATTCAACAATAAATATTATCATACCATGCCGATTCTCTTTGTAAAATGAACATGCAGGGCATGTGGGTGTTGTAAGTCATTTAAAAACACTATGAGAAATTCACAAGGCTAGTGAACCTTACTGTATACCAAGGAGAGACACATTTCTAATACATCAACATAGCTACGTACTAAACGGGGCTATTATCATACTAGAGTAGGTGACACCAATTTTGACTGAATATTGGCAATTACATATCTCCTCTATAATTTATCTTTTTATTTTCTTTCCCTTACAACTTTCAGGTAGAACTTTAGACTTCATAGCACTGAATTAACCTGCACTGAAAGCTGTTTACCTGCAGTTGTTCACTTTTGTTGAAAGTGACCATGTCTCAAGTTCAAGTGCAAGTTCAGAACCCATCTGCCGCTCTCTCAGGGAGCCAAATACTGAACAAGAACCAGTCTCTTCTCTCACAGCCTTTGATGAGTATTCCTTCTACTACTAGTTCTCTACCCTCTGAAAATGCAGGTAGACCTATTCAAAACTCTGCTTTACCCTCTGCATCTATTACATCCACCAGTGCAGCTGCAGGTAAGCGTTATGACTCCAAGTGTCTTCTGTTTCAAATGTTTTCTTAGCCTGTTTTCTGATCTGATAAGTAGATTGCAGATGTAGGGAGCTCTCACACACATTTACCTTCAAGAAGCAGAAGAAAGTATACCACCCATGCTTCTTTATCCCAGATATAGAACACACTTGGTTGTATATCGGGTTGATGGAGGCCTTTGACAGACCATTTCAAAGCGTAAGAAAGAAAATTGGAAACTAAACTATAAAGCCTTGTCTATTATAAAGTGGTAGCTGGCAGAAAGAATTGAACAGTAAATACCACTTTGGGTATTCATTGTTATATGGGAAAATTCTGCTTTTATAATTATTTCCCAGAATTGATTTGTAGGTGTAAGCCTCCTTTTTGGATGTCTATAAGATTTTTCCCAAGCAAGGGGGCAGGCAGATTTATTGGAAAGCAAAAGAGTGTGTTGGCATTTGATAATTTTTATTTTGAATAAGTAAGTTTAAATTGAGATTCCAGAGGTGGCTAAGAAATTATAGTGAGGACCAATTTGAAATTGAACAAAGAAGCAGAGATTTTTTAAAAAATAAGTTTAGAAGCATTCAAATTTAAATATTAGGAAAATAAAAATGAAATAAATGTGCTCATTGATCAGGAAAGACTTGAAACCTCTGGGAAAAAAACCCTAAAAACAATATTCTGCTCCCCAAACCTCCCCTTCCCCCAAGTTGCAAAACCAATTAAATGGGGTGTCAGCATAGGTGTCTCTATACTAGAGTCACCTAATAACAAATTCTTTTCAACCTTAAGCCTGACAGTTTCCCTTGCATTTCCTCCTCTTCTTTCATCGTCTCGTTTCCTTTACTGTGTAAATCTGTTCTTAGAGTGTTAGCTTGTCCCACTCTCAGCAGAATGGCATCTATCATGCTGCTACCTCTAGACTTCCTTGGACCGGCTCACCAAATAGCATTCTTGACTTGTCATGGTCCCCTAGAGATTCAGTGTTCCCCATATTTGCCATTTGAATACCATCTTAATAGGAAATGGCACAGACTATTGCAGTCCTCTAGGATTTATTGCTTTTTCTTCTAATGTGTTCTTATATCCACACTTTATTGACTTCATAAAACTCCCACCCACCAAGGCCATTTTATTTTACTTATAATTATCAGAAATAGATATGGTCTGAGGATGGCAGCCTTTGCAGATAAGACTAGAGGACGCCCTAGGAATGAGAAGTTAGCTGTGTGGAAAAGGACAGTCGTTGTTTGAGAAATGGTACTGGCATATTGAGTTTTTATGAAATAACGAACAGGGTACAGCTGACAGCTGTTGCGGTAACCAGTGTGTGTGTGTCTCTGCTCAAAAGACCTCCTTGTTATTCCCTTGGTTATAATAGCAGTGCTTCATCTGTTTTCAAATCTTGTGTGCTTGCCATGGTTTAGTTATTCCTCTGACTTCTATTCTCTCTCTTTTGAAGACACCCCCCCTCCTAGGTTACCTGGCTTCAACTGGTTCAGAAAAGATGCCAGCTGTGTCTTCAGATATATGCCCCCAGTGTGGTTTGCAGTATTGCATCACTGCTGCTTTAAATCCTTAGACCTTCAGCTTGTTTTCCCTCTTTTTTCATATCCCTGGGAGAGCTGCAGTCTTAAATACTGCTAGTTGACTTCAATGCTCTTACGTTATTTTTCAGTTCCTTCTAACATGGCACACCCCAAAGAGAAAACCCCAATGTGTCTTGTGAATGAGTTAGCCCGTTTCAACAAGATTCAACCTGAGTATAAGCTTTTGCGTGAGCAAGGTCCAGCTCACTGTAAGGTAAATATTGTCCATACTGCTTGTGCATTTATAACCCACTAGGAATGTTTTCTTTCTTTTTATACAGTTGCAAGTGGTTCTGTGATGCAAAATACATATTTTCAAACTGCTGAGGTTGTCTTAAAGAGACGCAAAAGTACAGATTGTTGGCGAGTCGCTGCTTTTTTCATTCTTGCAGAATGGGTCAAAGAAAAGATGTGCTTCTTTGGGGGATATTTGGCTTTTAAAACTCCAGTTAGTGTGTGGTTGCTTAGCATTCTGAATAGAGACAATTCCCAAGCACCTGTGAATGATTTCCTGTGAGTTTTCCAGGCTCTGGGCCTCCTGGCTTCTGCCTACCTCTGGCTCCTTTCCTGCTTGTTTGAAAGTGCATGTGTACCTTAGACTGGGCAGGGAGAGGAGATGAATGGGAAATCAGTTTTGCCACTTGTTGGCAATCAGATAACAAGGTTTGAATATGAGAGGTAAAATTAGTCTCCCAGTGAGTATTTTGGATTATCTCTGATTTCAGGTACCCTTCTCATTCCCCTCATCTTAGAGGATGAAAGACTGACTGTAATTTGAATTTTTCCTATTTGTTATTCAGGAGTTCAGTCTTTTAAGCTTGTTTGATATCTGTGCTAATGTATCAGTACATCTTGGAACTTAAATGTTTGCATATCTGGCTTTATCTTTTGCAGCTGTAGTATGAGACATAAGGAATTGGGCCTCCTGTTTCTGATCCTAGCCTTGCAGTAAGATGATATACTTTTATAAGGATGAGTTATTTGTCTCTTTATGCCTCATTTTTCTTGACATGCAAACCTCAAACCTTGAATGATACCAGGTTTCTCTTTTCATTTGACTAAAAGTAACATCAACCACAATCATAAATAGGCACCATAGGATAGCACAGTTAGGTGAGTTGCCTTTGGAGTCAGACAGATCTGGGTTTGAATCTTAGCTTCTTACTAGCTGTGTGACCTTGGGCAAGTTGCTACTTTTTTTGAACCTCAGTTTTCTCATCTGTAAAATGGGGATAATAATACCTACCAAATAAGTCTATTGTGAGATATATTAAAGTGTGGAGCACAATGTCTGGCACATAGTAAATGCTTGAGAAATGGTACTTATTATTATTAGGCAATTATGCATTTAAGAAAAATAGAAATTTCCCACTCACATGAAGCTAGTTTTAATATTATTCTAAAGCATAATTATATGTGAAATGTTTCTTTACCTTTAGAAGGCAATTAGCCATTTTTTATAACTGTTCTGTTTCTTCTACAGGATTTTTTTTGCAGATCTTAACTTTGGGATTCCCTTTATTAACTGTTTTGATATTTTTGGAAATTTGTACTTTCTCACTTGAACTTTAGTACTTTAGGTAATTTGGCTGTGTGTTCAATCTGTAACTGCATTTTTTTTTTTTTTTTTTACCTACAAGTTGTTCAAAGAGGAAAAGTTATTCCCTCCTAGATGATTGTTAGACTATTTAAAAAGTCAGAGGTCTGGTGTACTTTTAATTCTGTCTGAACCAAGATCTAACCTCACTACCAACCCTCCACACAGAAGGCAGCAGAGTGGCAGCAGCGCCGACGGGGACAGTCCTGGAGAAAGGCAAGACTGATCATGAAATTAACTGTTTTCTATCTTTTAGCATTTTCCCCTTCAATGTCTTTCCATGAAAGGATCACAAAAATGACTCAGGGATTGCACAGGATTGCAGGCTTCTTCTGCCATTTGACCTTTCATGCCAGCCAGGGTTTTGAGTTCATGCTATTGGTGCTTAAATGAGTAGCTTTATGAACTGCAGCATAAATATAGGAGACCCCTAATATTTCAAGGGGGATGAAGGATTCTTTAATTTTTCCCCTTTACTGGAAGCTGTGCACTGAGGGAATCCTGAAGTTAAGACCTATAAGAAAAATCAGCTGTAAGGCAAGTTGGCTCCCATCCCTTTAGGCACCAAATTTAAATGACCTAGGCATACTCAAATTACCATTTCTCATGTGAATTATTTGTCAATGAAATAAAGTGATATTCTGTGATAAAGAAGATGAGAAGAATAAAAGCTCCAAAGTAGTGAGTTTCAAACGTTGAAGTGCATCAGAATCACTTTGGGAGCTTGTTAAAAATACACATGCTTGGGCTTCCCTGGTGCTGTTCAGTCGAAATCCCTGGGCATGTGTATGTTACCAGGCTTCCCAGGTTATTCTTCAGATGCACACCAAAGTTAAAGAATCACTGAGCTGTGATGGGTCATGGTTTTTTTTTTTTTTTGATAGAGTATTAGTCCAGTTCTGATCGGATTAACGTAACCTAATTTTACGAATGGAGTGTGCACATGAGTTACCTTTATTCTTAAAAAGGAAGAAAGAGGCTTGCCATTGTCAGTATTTGTTGAGGACAGAATTAGCTGTTTTGGATGCCTCCTTAGAATTGAGTTCAGAAACGTTTTTAGATCTTTGCTTGTTATGAATCTGATTTGCTTCTGCAAGTGGAAGCAGTGTCTGACTAGTGCAGTCTTAGGAAAGTAAAAGGCAACATTTTCGAACTTGGCTGACATTCCCAAATTTATTTGAGTTTTCGTCCTAATGAGGTTGTGTTTTCAGACAAGCGTCCACAAACAAATTACAACATCAAAACAAATATTGTCTTCATTTGTATGAGGTACTGCTATGTGTCTAAATCAAGTTTGCTAAGTTTCTTCCATGAGAAATAATGGGAAGACAATTTTCTATTTGGATGGCTTCCAAATCATCAGCATTTAATATTTTAATATATAAGAGAACATTTTTTAATCTCTGTACTTACCGCCATCTTTCAAAGCATAGTTTTTTCATGGAGTGCTATGCAGTACAAGTCAATGATATGTGTATCTTTTTGTGTTTATAAAAACAACAAAAAGGGGATGAAGGGATAAATTATCAAGATAATGACCAGGCCTTTTAAACCATGACCATAAATTATGTTCAAGGACCAAGTGACATATTACAGTCAACATCAGGTTTCATGAATTGAGAGCTCACAATTTTCATTTGTAGGTGTTTACAGTACAGCTAACACTTGGAGATCAGCACTGGGAAGCTGAAGGAACTAGTATTAAAAAAGCCCAACACACAGCTGCTGCCAAAGCTTTGGAAGGAACAAAATTTCCTAAACCTATAGTCCGCCCTTTTCGTAGCGAAGGAAGGAATCCAGGTATTATGCGTGGGCCAAGACAGGTTCCTTTCAAAAGTGTGTCTAGAGGTACCTGTTTAGTATGTATATGAATTCTTTCTTAACTAACTCGTTGGTTTTGAAAGCACAGAGTCTGCACTACCAGTGGCAAATGCTTATCCTTTCAGGTCTTAGCCTTACTCTAAAGCAGTGGTTCCCAGGCTCCAGTCCCTCCACTCCTGCTGGTCTGGAAAGGTGGTTGTGGGAGCTGAGGGATGTCGCCAGATGATTTCCGAGATTTTTAGAAAAGCCTAATGAAAATATATGTTTTCTTTTGATAAGGTTGTATAGATGCCAAGAATGTGGGTTTTAGCTAAAATCACTTCAACTCCGTGTGGTCATATTGATTATAACATGTTGATCATAACCCCTGATTATCAGTTTTATGTTGCCTGATCATTAACAAGAATGAGAAAATATTTTAAATATTTGTTTCTTAAATACAAATCAGTAGGTAATATCTCTTCAAGCAAGGGCCCGACTGGGGAGAATACTGATAAAGAGGAGTGTCTGGCGGGAGCCTGAGGACCACTGACCTGGAGGCTGTAGGTAGAAGTGGCTATTGTAGGAGAGTTACCGCTCCAGTACGTGAGGTCATCCCAGGCCCTTTGCACTCGGGAATGATCTGGGAAGATCTCAAAAGATCTCGGTCACACCTTTCTTGTTGCTTTTGATTGCTTTGTGGTATTCTTTCTTTAAATTTATTCTCTACTGCAGATAAATTTTATGGGTCAGAGCTGCTCTTACTTAAAATGCACTATTTGAATTGTGTAAAAAATATAATTCTGATGTTAGCTAGAGAGAGGTTGGTTATTCATGTGACCCTCTGACTTTGCAAACTCAAAGATATTCTTATAAATTTGATTTATGCACTAAATAAATTTGATTTATGCACTAAATTTAGTCAAACCAGTTATGGTACAGAATCGAGTCATTTTTATTTTCCTCTACATACATCCTAAAGAGGCATTTTAAAGTGGATTTTTGTGTGTATTTAAATCGAACTTTGCCATTGCTAGTGTTGTTCTGTGTTTGATATTAAAGTGTTATTTTTAAATGTGATTGTGCACCTACACTAATCTTTCCAGGCTGGTTTTCTTTTTAAATGATTTTTAAAGGTTTATGAGTTGGATGAAATGAGAGGGGAAAAAAAGGAAGATGAATAATGAGTATTTTCTAAAGTTGCTATTTCTGAGATAACCCAAGATATACTTGCTCCTGTTGTATACGGCAACAGAACTCATTTTTCTAACAAGTATTACCACAAGTCAGATCCCATTATAAGTATCAAGAATGAAACATCCAGTGCTTCCCTCGTGGTCCAGTGGTTAAGACTCCGTGCTTCCACTGCTGAGGGTGCAGGTTCAATCCCTGATCGGGGAAGTATGCTGTGAGGTGTGCCCCCCCCCACAAAAAAAATTAAGAATGGAAACCTCTAACTATCATCTGACTTCTCCAGATAGAATTTACTTGTCTCCTCCTCAGTGATACTGCACCTTTCCTTATAGCACACATAATGTTGTATTGTAGTTCTTTGAGTGTGTTTTGTGTTCTTTGAACTCCTCTGGGGCAAGAATTGTGTTCAAGCTTAGCACAGTACTCTGCCTCCAGTTAGTACTGAATAAATGCATTGTTCTATGAAATAGTGTGTACAAACATCCTTCTAAGTGTAAGCCAGTCAGTCAGTACAACCAAAGTTATGTTGGTTGAGTATTCCCAAACAATGAAATGATTTGGATGGTCCTATGGGATTTTTTAATCATGGAATTTGATGTGTATTGGAACTTATTTCTGACTACTGGCTTTCACTGCTAACATCTTGTGTTACACTGATGCTCCCCTAATAGCCGTTACAGTATATTTTGTGCTGCTGACTGTGTATTAATACCTAGAAATCACAGCAGATTCTTGGATTTCCTGACCTGATGCCTAGCAGTGAAGTACTTAGATCTTTTCCTGAAATACATCGTGAATCCAGTTGGTAGAAAGCATGCTATTCTTTTTGATTTTAGTGAGTGTCATTCTCATATCAGAAAAAACCAATTCTTTGTGTTGATTCTGTGTTGCAGAAAGCATAACCCCTACTGTAGAGCTAAATGCACTGTGCATGAAACTTGGAAAAAAACCAATGTATAAGCCTGTCGACCCTTACTCTCGGATGCAGTCCACCTATAACTACAACATGAGAGGAGGTGCTTATCCCCCAAGGTATGTGTTTGTTTTGTTTTCAATACAGGTGAAGATATATTTGATCTTTTACATAGAATAATAAGATCTTTAGATTGTAGAGCACAAAATGGTTTGGTCCTCTTTGGCCTGCCAAATGCTAAAGTCAGTCTTAATTGTCTTGGTGTCATTGGAACTGTATCTTGATGCTCTTTTAACTCCTGTCATTGGAAAGGACTTGAGCACATTCCTCATGAGCAGTACGTCTCATGCCCCAAGCTATCTGGTTAAAGCTATCACCCTTCTAACTGCTTTGTGCAACTGAGTCATATTTTTGTTTTTTTAAACAAAGATGGCCTAATGATTTTATTTTATTTTTTAAAATTTATTAATTTTTTTTTTGGCTGTGTTGGGTCTTCGTTGCTATGCGCGGGCTTTCTCTAGTTGCAGCGAGCGGGGGCTACTCTTCGTTGCGGTGTGTGGGCTTCTTATTGCGGTGGCTTCTCTTGTCATAGAGCATGGGCTCTAGGGCATGCGGGCTTCAGTAGTTGTGGCGCGTGGGCTCAGTAGTTGTGGCCCATGGGCTCTAGAGCGCAGGCTCAGTAGTTGTGGCGCACGGACTTGGTTGTTCCGTGGCATGTGGGATCTTCCCGGACCAGGGCTCAAACCCGTGTCCCCTGCATTGGCAGGCGGATTCTTAACCACTGTGCCACCAGGAAAGTCCCAAACTGAGTCATATTTGAACATGATTCCTGCAACACCACAATTCTCAGCATTCACAGATTTCCTGATTATTGTTTATTGGGTACTTTTTGACTGTTGAACTTACATATGTGTTTGTAAATAGCCTTGGTATACAGATGCAGTAAAATATTAATTGAAACCTGAAAATGCCATGTGTTAAAAACCTTCTGCTTGTGGTCATAAGACACTAGTGGATAGATTGATGATCAAACTGGAGGTCTTCATTTCCCTGCCCTACTTTGGGGTAGGAGGGAGGTGGAGGCCAAAGCCATTTTAAAAATAGAAACCAGCCTCCACCAGGCTATAGGATATTGGGATTTACAGAAATGAGGGTCCTTTCTAAAAGACGTCTGTTAAAAAATTTCCATCCTTTTCTGGAGACACGGAAGCGTGAATCTCAGGTACGAGAAAGTAGAGCAAGTTAAGTTTTCTGTCTCAGCCAAAGTCTAATCTATTTTAGATTTTGTAAATATGGGTTAGCTTTATAAATTGAACTCATATAATTTGTAAGGCAGTGTATTTTGTGGAACATAAACAGTATTTGCTCATACCGTGTGGCAATTCTAATGCAGCATAAACATGGGAAATCTCTGGATGTACTGATGAGGAGTCATTATTGGCGAGCAAACGCTGATGTGATCAGGACCTGTGATGAAGGGAATACCTGGAGTTTGTCAGAGAACGTATGGTGACTTACCTGAGACTCGTTTTCCTTACCCCCCTCTATTTTTAGGTACTTTTACCCATTTCCAGTGCCACCTTTACTTTATCAAGTTGAACTTTCTGTGGGAGGACAGCAATTTAACGGGAAAGGAAAGACGAGACAGGCTGCGAAACACGACGC